CTAAATTTGGAGCTGAGGGTATGAATCTCGATTATACGTGTTATGTGATTTGTTTGGAGGTGACGCACATACTAGGTGACGGGCGTGTGGGTGTGTACCGTAGAAATTGAGACTCTGTCGATTTCGTAGAGCTGTGTTGCCAATTGACTTGTAATTTCCATGTAGTTTTCATGTGTTAGAGAAACTGAATTGTGACTCATATTAAAAAACATGTTACGCAAATGCTGGTATTATTGGAACCCACTGAGGTCATTCTTGTTGTTGAATTATATGTTTAAATTATAATTTCGTACTTAATCATGTTCATTCATTACATATCATATCTCAGTCTTTGTTGCTACTTATTGATACATCATGTCATCATTTTGGGCTAGTTTCATGACATTGTGAGCCCGAGAGACTGGAGAGATTGATGACTGAGTAAGGCCGAGGACCTGATTGTGAGTGATATTTATGGAATCGGGCTACACGCCACAGCATGTTTTATTGATTTATGCCTGGATTTAGCTTATTATAGCGCTTGGACTGAAGGAGCCCCTCCTGAGTCACCATACCCATAGTGAGCGCAGTTGATATTATATTGAGGGGTGGATCTCCCCTAGGCATGGATTTTGCCTAATTATTTATACTGAGGGATGGATCTTCCCTAGGTATGGATCTTGCCTAATTATTTATATTGAGAGATGGATCTTCCTTGGGTTGGATTGGCCCTATACAGGATTGACTGACTGCATGTTAGTTATCATATATATCTATATATATATATATTTGGGATGAATCTTCCCTGGGCTGGATTGACTATATACAGTACTGAGTGACTATGCGCGAGCTGTCATTTATATTTGGGTTGAATCTGCCATGTACAATGCCGAGTGAGCGTGTGGAATATTGAGCGTGATGCATGAAAATGTGAGACAGTGAGATTGGATACTCAGAGAGTGTGAGTACATGAGTTCATCACTGTGCTGCATTGCATTAGACATGCATAATTGATATGTAGGCATAGAGAAGTATTTTTTTCTCATGCCATCTGATAATGGAATTTCTTATCTGTTGTTAAAGTTTTTGAGAAAAATCATAGATTTCAGACTTACTCATATTTTCGGTAATTTTGGCAAAAGATTTGAGTTATTTTCCTCTTTGTCTAAGAACCCGGTCCTCAACCAAAAAATCTTTCCCAATATGTGTTTGTTGAATCCAAGCACACCAAATTTGTTGGTAATGCTTTATCCACTAAGCCCCAAATTGATTTCTTTAAAAATTCTAGTCTTATGCAAAAACCTAAATCCCAGAACCCTTTGTCCCTAAATCGAAATCAGGACTTGTTGATTATTCTAATGGATATGAAAGTGAGAAATCGAAGGCTGAGAGTTCTGAAAAGAAAGAAGCAGGTTCTTAGGGGGAAGATTCAAAAGTTAGGGTTGATGCAATACAAGTTCAAGGAGAACATGAAAATACTCCTGATGTAGTGGATATATGTTAAAAAAAACCTCTGGTTGTGTTATATGATGAGCATGATATTAGTGAGAAACAGCAGAGGTGGATAAGAGAAATAAGTGAGAAAAGATTATAATAAGGGAGTTAGTAGTAAGAAAAAATTTGCCCTATGAGCCCCTGGCAATGGACTAGGTTCTTCTGCTACTGGTGTGGGTGAAAAAGGTAAGTTTGAGAAATGGTTGAAGAAATCAGAGATGACAAACCTCGTACTATAAGATTTGAGAGGGTGATAGTAACAAAAGTGTTGGTGAAATTGAAGTTGACAAAGAGAAGCAGTCCAACTTGGAACTTGGTTCCTTAGTTGAGTTGGACTAAAATTATGATGGATGGTAAATGATTAAAAAAATAAACTAATAACATGACATTGATGATCTGCCTTAGTGTAATAGGGCAGAACAATTACAAAAGATATATTGGTTGCTAAGGAACTTAAGAAAAAAAGGGCAAGCTCTCATTAATGGATGAACAAAATATTGTTGTGCCAATGGAGCTTAAAATAGATTAAGAAGCTGGAAAAAAAAATAGGTTCCTCTGGTTTGAAAGAAAGTAAAAAAGGAGGGACAATATTGATAAGGTAGGGACTAGCTTAAAGGAAGAAGAAAACTGGAGAGAAATCATGAGGAGAATTTAGACATCATGTTTGTGAAAAGGAAAGTTAAATCACCAGGTAAGGAGGCATTGTGCTGATTCATAGAAGTAAGAAGGCGAGAATAGAATGAGAATATCTATGTTGTGCAGAAATAACCCTCTTCCAGTCAGTGAACCTGGACCTTAGTCTCTCCTAGACAAGTCCAAGCCAAGTCCATTCCGATTCAAGTCCTGTTTTGAATTGTTATCTTTTGTACTCTGTTGGTTTAATATTTTTTGTAGCATTTAAAGCAAGTTCTTATTACTTTTGTTGGTTTGGGTCTGAGAGGCTTAATATGGTACATATGTAAATTTCATTATTCTTGGTTTGATGAATCTCTTAAGATGGATAATATCATGAGAATAATATTTGAGTTATTGATTTATGTGTAAGTTAGTGTAGCCCGAGTGACCATGAGTTTGATACTTCTTAGTTCTCACTTTTGACTCTACTAACGCTTTATTTTTCGATGATGCCAAAAGGAGGAAGTTAAGTATGTGCACATATGTTGATCAATGAAACTGATTCTTAAGCACTTGGACTAATAAAGGGTGATGTCATTGAGTTTATCTGTTTGCAGGTTCTATAATTGAATTATGTCTAGCCATCTACAGGGTTGCAATGAATGAAAGGCGAGTCCCTTACACTTGTGCAAACATGGGCAAACTAAAGAAGTGTGTTGTGAATGAAACTGGTTCTTATGCTGAAGACGGATGAAAATCAGGTAAGCTATTGACTGATTTGCATATGGGTTTGTCATCATCAAAAAGGGAAAATTTATTGAGCTTAGCATGAAATTATATTTTGATGATTAATAAACTATATCTGAGAACCAGGTCTGATGAACAAGTTACTATGCTACTATATTATTGTACAGATCTGTTATGTTGTCAATGAAAGAACCAAGGCCCTTGAAGCAAATGTCTGAAGAATATGTGGTTAAAAGTGATTTTGACGATTAACCAACAGCTGACAACGAACAATATCTTGTGAAGATATTTGATGTGCTGATATATAGAGTTGCAGATATGTCATGCAGATATCGACAAAATCAGGTCTCTTAAAGACGCTGATCAGAAGTTGGAAGCTTATTCCTAGTGCAAGTCGGTTGAGCTGGAATTCAGTTACAATTTGGATTCCTTAAAGGAATTATTTTGTGGGCTGAAAGTATGGCAATAATTAGAGGAATTCGTGGTCAACAAGGATTCATTAATTATGGGAATACTTGCATGGAAAGGAAAAGCATGTGCATAATTCTTTTAAGAAAAGTCAAATCCTAATGCAAGTCGGATTCCTTAAAGAATTAAATTCATGGGCTACAAGAAAAATATTAGTTGGAGGAATTCGTATTGAAAAGGGATTCAATAATTATGGAAGTACTTGCATTAAAGGAAAAGGTTTAAGGAGTTGGGAATAAATGAGGAAACCAAATCCTAAAGGAATTCTTTTTCTTAACCGATTTCTTCTAGGTTTTGGAGCATAAATTGGAGAATGATTTCTTCCAACCTCATGCCTATATAATGCATCATGTTGCTGCTATTAAAGATAATGCTATTCCACAAAAATATAAATAATCATTCAAAGAAAATAGCATTCATAGCAAGAAGGTGCTTTCAAGTATTCAAGCTGCCTAACTGAATAACCAGGTCCAGAAGACGAAACTGTTGAAGTTCTTTAGTTAGGTTGAGTCAATTTCTTAATTGTAACCTATTTTGCTTTTGAGAAGTGTAAACATAGGTGATCGAATTCTGAAGCGTTTATTTTCGCTTTCTAAGCTAGAGTTAGTTTACAAAGGGGTAGCTACAATGAGTTGATTGTAGAGGAAGGGTACTAGAGTTAGTCTCCTTGGTCATAGAGTTGTAACCTAAAGCTTAGCTACAATTAGGCTGAGTGTAGGGGTAGGGTAGTGGAGTTAGTCTCCTTAGTTATTGAGTTGTAACCTAAAATTGCTCTTTGAAGTTAGTGAAGTTTTGAAGGCAAATCCTATGAGGGTAGGTCGTAATTTTTTACTCCCTTGAGCAAAGAGTTTTCCACGTTAAAATTGATGTGTTATTTATATTTCCGCACTTCACCCTCAATTTTGTGTCAAAATAATTCAGTTAAAGAATTAGGTTCTTTGGCACACAAAATTGGCCATTTCTTTATCTTTATTGTTGAATATTTTAGTACAATGTCATGACTCATCTCACATTATTTTGTGTTATTTTCTTGAGTAATATGTTATATAGCTTGACAAGAGGGGTTGCTCTGATGGTAAGCAACCTCCACTTCCAACCAAGAGGTTGTGAGTTCGAGTCACCCCAAGAGCAAGGTGGGGAGTTCTTGGAGGGAAGGATACCGAAGGCCTATTGGAAACAGTCTCTCTACCTCATGGTAGGGGTAAGGTCTGCGTACACACTACCCTCCCCAAATCCCACTAGTGGGATTATACTGGGTTGTTGTTGTTGTTACTAAGACCAAAGAAATATCTGAAGCACAAGTTATATGTTTTGTTCTATGAATATTTTACCGAAAAATTCGAGAAAACCAAAAAGCCCAAAAAGATAGAGATTGAAAAACCCGACTTTTGTTGATTTGGTTTGGTTTATAGATTTAAAAATCTGAGACAATTGGTTTGGTTTGGTAACTGAAAAATCTGAACCAGTCCGGCCTATGTACACACCTTGAAACCATCAAATTTAAATTTTTAATATGTCTTTAAATAATATGACTAGTTTCTCTGATGTCTTTGTTACCTTCTCATGTCCTCAGATTTAACTTCAACTAAGTTTATACTTGCTAAAAAAGGACGCAAATTCATTTCATGTATAGCTAAACCTACTTACAAATCAAAGTGATCGAAGTTCGAAAAAGCAATAGTAAAAATATTAAGACATATTTAATGATGTATATTGGACGGAATAAATTGCTGCCTGCAGTGGTTGGATGGCCTTATAGACTGACTGTAAGCATTTTTGTTAATGAAGATCTCCACAATGCTGTTACAAGTTGATCTTTTGAGGTGTTTCCTCAAAACTTTATGATTAACATCTAAACTACCTTATTACGTATCCAAGTATTATGGCTTTGACTCGAAATTTTGAGTAACTGACAAAATATGATCAGTAATCAGACAATAATTTGAGTAATTTAAAGCTTGATATAGCCATTCTTGATCATCCACTCCAAACTCCAATGGTTGTTCACATTTTTGAGTGTCCAATAAGCCCAACCAAATGTTGCACGTCCGAACACTTCCAATTGAGCCTTGGCAAACTTTTGGTAATCCTCCTTTGTTGCATCTCTGACTTGCCATTCAGCAACCCATTCCCCTGAAAAATATTTCAAAGTAGATTGACATAAATATCTCCTGTCAAATAGGTCATATAACCAAAAGAATATTTGTAAGTTAGTCATATACTTATGATGATTTGAGCTAAACTTTTTGGAATATACACTAAAGAAACTTAGGATCCCAATTTATTCTATTTTTTGACAGAGGAAGGGAATATCTTAATATCATGTAATAAAGGAGGGTAATAGAACTTAATGAGAAAAGACAAATTAAGAGAATATACCAACTAAAGTGAGAGGACCATTGGATTGGGTGACAGTATTGAGTTGAGCTGAACGGTTGGTGAAGACAAAATCAAGATTTTGTTGGACAGTCATGTCGTTAAACATGTCAGAGAAAAGATTGTAGTAATGAACATCAATTACAGAACCCTTTAAGCCACTGGCAAAAGGCAAAAGCTCAGTTGGATCTGCAGATCCTAATCTGTTGGACATCACCACATATGCATCCGAAGAATGCTTACGAACTGCATTATATCCAGCTTCGTAGTATTTTTTCACCATCTCGAATGAAACTTCTGGTGCTAATGGCTCATTGATTAACTCCACTGCGTAAAGGCTTGGATTCTTGGCATACCTAAATTCATGAGTAAAAGAAAGAACAAAATGAAAAAGTTTATCTCTACTCTACACCAACAAAATTTTGTTACTTGAATGCTTTATTTTACCACTTGTACTCGAAAGCAAATGCGGTATACAGAAATTTGGTGACAATTGTTAATTGTAGCAGGGGATGTACAAGTAAACTGTATAAAACTATTGATTTTATGACATGTGAAATTAAAATGCATACCCTTATCAAATGATTTAGCACTTTTTATAAGTTCAAAAGATTTATAGTGAATTATATTGTTTTATACGAAAAAAGTATTGTAGCTAAGTTTCATGTGTGAAGTTTTTAGGAACTCACATATATAAAAATTTGCATTTTAACCGCAGGATTTCCGCAAGGGGTTCAAAAAAAAAGTTAAAATAGATTATAGCCAATGGGAATTGAACCAATGACCTTACAAAGGTTTTGAACCCCGTTAACCACTAAGCTATGCGTTTAGGTTGTGTTAACAGGATTCAAAATATAATATATAGAGATAAGAAACAAATTTTACCTTATATATAGTGTAATTGTTCGACGAAAGGGGTTCGGTGAACCCCTAAATCCGCCCCTGCTATCATGTCGCCTAAATGATCACTATATATAACGGTTCGCAAAAAGTAGTGTGACTAATTAGTAATAAGAAAGATAAGACATGTTATTTGTTGCAACAAGTTAACCTAGTACAAAAGTTCTATACTATTAATATATATAAGTTAAATCTTATCGTTTATACCTGGCAGTTAAGAAGTCTATGACTGCAACTGTCTGTTGAATGGTATCATCAGTTTTTCCCCATTCTATAGTACCATCTCTGTTGGCACTGTGCTCCCAAGGATTTTGGGAACCAGGCGCAGCATGCAGATCTATTATAACTTTAAGTCCGTATTTCCTACAAATATTTCAAACTTTCAATTAAAACCCAATATATTATCAATTTGATTATATAAAAAAGTTAGCTAAGAATGTGTACTTGGCCCATAAAAACGCATTGTCTAAGGCATGCAAAGAGCCTCCAACGTAAGGCTTTGGGGGAGTTGGATCACTGGCAATCCACCATCCAACTGGAATTCTCACTGCATTTAGTCCGTTGCTTGCTATGAACTTGAAATCTTCTTCTACTATAAATGTTTTCCAGTGTTCCTGTAATATAAATATATGTTTTTTCATATTTAAATACAATTATGATTTGCTAAACTACATTAGGTACTAGCATTTCTTAGAAAGAGTACATACTCTCATAACTTGTGGTGCGATGATAGGACCATAGCCATTAGTAATTTGGAACTCGCCTTCAAGTTTTCCACTGGTTTTCATGATGAAAACAGAGGGATCATCATCACCCCATCCCCCATTCCCTCCATTATTTGCTGTCACAAGTTCCTCTGTTTTTACCTGCACCTTAAATAATTAGTACAGTAATAAGTGCACAGATAGTCATTATCCGGTCCGGTACTTATTTTGTTATGAAACTTTAACTAAAAATCTTAATTTCAGGATAACTCATGATATTTTTATCTTGAAATACTAAAATTCAGGACGTACTGACAAATTTCTAAATAGTAACCCTATTTGGTGTCATTTCTTCTATACAATTCAAGTAGAAAGTAGTAAATAGGTCGCTATTTTCTGTCGAATGACGATTTTAATTTCCTTTCTCATAATCCAATAAAATATACTCCATAAAGAGACTTTCTTATGAAAACTTAAAACGAAAAATTAAAAGCATTGAGGACAAAGGCCTCTCATCAGGTTGTTTCTCCATCTTAGTCCTTTTTTTTTGTAGTTTAAATAACTGTACTTACTAAAGAGTTTGTTTAGAAATGCCGGCAATGTTACTGTCCTAATATTCTCCACTTGCCAAGTCAATAAAGCAGACACTTAAAATTGCCTCCTATATATCAACAAGAATAAGCAGCAGGCATAAATGGATCAATTTATCATTTGGAAAACAATACTATATATTCTCTTTGGGAGATATTTTTATTACCAAGCACTCACTTAGTGGAAGAAGTCCACTAACTTTATCATATGGTCCTGTGAAAGGATTTGTGGTACCAAAATTTTGGTCCAAAGCGAGCGCCACTAACTTTATCATATGGACGTGTTACTATATGATCCAAACAGTTGTTAAACGCAAAAGAAAAGGTAAAAAAAATAGGAGGTCAAATATTCAAAAATCAGAAACCAGACACAAAATATATAACCTAGCTTAAAACTAATCCCAATACCATTTGGGTTTGTTTAGAAACTAGCAACCAAAAGAATTACTTAGTTTTGAGTTTTGGTTTCAACGAATTAAGTTCTATACACTAATATTATAAAAATAATTACATAATCAGATCATTTAAATTAATTACAGATAAATTTCTAATTAACATAACATTTCAAGAACTCACCTCTAAGAAAAAACCATTTGATGCTTTTATCCGAACACGGCTAGGATCATCAGATTTCCTCACAATCTCAAAAGTCTCTGAAAATCCAGGTTTGTTTTCCACTGCTACCACATTTCCACTTCCATCTACTCCCACAAATTCTTTGTTAAACACCCTAAAGTTAAAACTTGTGCTGTTTATCCTCCAAATCTACAAGAAATGGTGCAACAACCAAGAAAATAGCCCCCGTTAATTAACTAATAAAAATGAGTTTTTACTTCTTTTATTATTTTTCAAGCAAAAGTTACGTACTTTGAAGGTTTCCCATCCCAAGGCAGCAGTTCTATTGGCAACAATAATTGTTCCTCCTCCTAACTCAGCACACAGATACTTCCCAACTGTTACTGATTTGAATTGCAGTCCAGTTCCATCCTGATCAACGTCATTAAATACTTACCGTGTCAGTATATATAAGTTAAACTCTAAATTATTAAATCAACGTAAATGAGCTTGTAAATATTAACCAGAAAATCTTTGTTGGGGATGCCATCAAAAAGAGAAGGTTTAATCCATCCTTCAGTGAGAAGCCAGCCTCCAAGATTAACAGCTCGAACTTTGAAATTTGGAGTAATTCTTCCATATGAAAAACTAAATATGCAACAAGAAAAGATGATAAAGAAGTAGTAGACAACAAGTTTCCTTGCCCATGAGTAGCTTGCCATTGCTTCTTAATATTTTAGAGTTGCATGATATATCGTTAACTTGGTAATGCCTTTATATAGATGTCCAAATATTTGACCAACTACTTTAAACAATCTGAACTCAGAAATAAAGAATGTGATAAAAATAGATAAGATACTATATCTTGATTTTGAATCAATACTTCTTATTCAACGCTTTGACCTTTTAAATTAGAATTGGATTTACTAATTTTTGTTTTGTACGGACTTTTGGTATGTATCTTGGTGCAATTTCAATTAGTCCTTAATCACCTTCTATAACCCAATATTAAGAACTTTGTTCTTTCAATAATTGATCAATTAACTTAAAAAAATAAATTTTGTCAACTGCATTCTTAATTACTAGAGTAATTTGTTGCAAAGCTAGTATAAATACATTTTACCACCAAAGACTACATAAAGACTAGTAATGATATTCCTTCACCCTTAGCTAATGATCTTCAATTCGAGTTTTGAAAATGAAAATATCTTCGATAGAGAATATAGTGTTGTCCAAAAAATTATACCACGCGAATCTGGATAACATAGTTTAATTCAAAATTTGAAACTTTCAATGCCGATGTATAATACTTGGACTTTTCAAAGGTGATCCCACATAGCACCTTCTTTCTCTTCCCTTTCCCACTGAAGTTTCCAATTCTTGAGGGTTGACTTAGATTAGCATCACAATTTACAGCTATAAATATTCTTTGCCTAACTAAATCAGGTATTCTATCAATTAAATAGTTCCTAATTACTAAAACAACAACTATATGATTCATCTTCTCTGGCTCTGGCTTGTTCAAGCCTTTAGTTTCCACAAAATATTTAAAAATTTGCAAAGATGACGAAGAAGAAGAATTTTATCATTCGGTCAAGACTTCTAGAGATTGCCACTGCGTACACTTCACCATACACAGCTAATTAAGCGTGGCGATTATTTAATTAAATAAAATATACATATGACTATCCGTTTAGCATGTGCTAATTAATCTTAAGGTCTGAAATTCTGTGAATCTTGAATTCATTAATGCAAAATAGAAAGGTAAGTTTACATTGCTATTTTCACCTTATGAGTAACATCATTTAAAGTTTGACTTGTGAGCTGCGATAATGTTTAGTCTAAATTAGTATGTTCACCATTGTAGTTTAATTTATTACAACCAAGATATTTTATTATAACTTTCCGAATGGATAAGCAATTAAATTATGCTCCATGGTTAATTAAAAACCAGACAATAAAGCTGACTCTGAAAAGTATTTTAAAAAAACTTATTTACTCTTGTTTTAGGGGTCATTCTATTGTTTAAGTTTTAGTGCACAACGTGCCGTGAGTGGCACTATAACGAAGTGCCTATGGCTGCGAATTAAGTATTAAACTCCTTTTATTAATGCTAATTTACTTGCTTTAGTTCCCATTAAGACATTGAAAGATCCAAAATTGGCTTCATCAATTTCGGCACAAACCGATTAGAACCCATTTTCTAGAAGATAAATCCATACCTACCGTGATAAGACTATTGCCCGATGGGAATCTTAAATGGGTGACTAATTTCTAGGGGATTTAAATAAACTGAAAGAGATTAGGTAAAAGTGGAGAGAAAATACAAAGGAAACTACAACAAAATCACTTTCACGAGTTACTACAAGCTTGCTTAATCAAAGCAAAAAGAAATTTATTTAGATATTCTGGGCTTGCAATAGAGTACGACATAATGTGGAAACACACATTCATATTTTTAAAGTATTTTCTATTAATATCTGATAAATCAAGAACTCAGTTGTATGTCAACAATAGAACCGGTACTGTATGGAAAATTTCAATTCTTATCAAGTTTTCTCTTTACGAAAACTGAAGGGGGAAAAAGAGATTAAGTATGATAACATAAATATTTTCACCATGAAAACAAAACAGATCTCATCAAATGAGATAAATTTTTCTTAAATATGCAGCATCAAGAGAATTTTTCTTGTTTAGATTATTTAAAAAATCGTTCTATTTTTGTCATGTGAAATTCGAGAGAATCTTTATAGAGTTTAAGAAAATTGGTATCTATGTTCCAAAATCATGAAAAAATTGTACGTCCAATATTATAGTAAAATTTAGATTGACCATAAAGTTTATATCTCTAGTATGTGAAGATAGTAAGTCGTACGTAATTATTCTCATGCATGTATATATATATATGTTCCTCTTGATTACTATCGTAGACTTTTTAGTTTTCATTTTTGTAAGTCAATCGAGTTGTAGGTTGAATGTTTGAATGTGTTAAAAGGTCTACGACCAGTCGACCATAAACTACAATTCACACTTTTCTAATTGTAGGTCCCATATGATAATGGTAAAAAACAATATGTCGGATAATCTTTAAATTCACCACTAGAAAAATGCAAATAATATCGGGATTTTACCTGGGAATTTTTTTCGCAGAAGTTTCCTACAAATTTTCATGCGGAAACGTGAAATTTCTCAATTCTCGAATATTATACCTGCGAAAATTATTGTGGCAGGAAAATTCGCAGGTAAACTTAGCGTCATTTTGCGCCAAAATATTACTTGCAGAATTACTTGGGGAAATCATCCGCATGTACTATTTTCATAAGAAAATCCGCAAGTAAATGAACAAAAATAATTTTTTTTGTTAATTCGCAGGAAATTCTCCAAGTACAATTACTTGCGGAGTTAGCTAGGGATATTTATCTAGAGATTTACTTGGAGATTCCTTAATTGGAAACTTACCTAGGGATCTTGAATCTATGAATTTCTATAGAAATTTATTTCTTGTGGATTTGACTGAGGATTTCTCTTAAACATGGAATTCCTTGGGAAAATTACTAAGAGCCTGTTTGGAAAGCCACCTAGGAATTGAATTTTGGGTGTAATTACACAGTTTGATATATTTGTCTAGCCAAGTAATTACTTACTCAACATGAAATAGAGTGTAATTGGAGAGGCGTAATTACACTCTCCAATTCTCAAGGGGGATGTGAGAATTGGTGGTAATTACACTGTGTAATTACAAGGTTATTTTTTAATTTTTTCCCTTTTTGTTTTTATTTTAATTTATTTTCTTTTTTTCCCATTATTTCAAATTTCTTTTTGAGAATTAGCATCCTATTCGGTGTCTTAGGGTCTTGAGTAGCTTCATATCATATATTATGACTTGCGTGTGTGGTCGAGTTCGGCTTTCGGATGATTCAGGATTGATTTGGAAGGATGATTCTTACTTTAGGAACTTAAGCGATAAGAGTTGATCGGAGTTTGAATTTGATGTAGACGACTCCGAAATGGTGCTTCGATGATTCCAATAGCTTCGTATGACGATTTCGGACTTAGGCGTATGTCCGAATTTCAATTTGGAAGTTCGTAGGTTGATTTGATGCATTTTGGCGAAAATTGGAAAGTTGAATGTTTAGAAGGTTGAGAGGTTTGATCGGGAGTTGACTTTATTAATATCGGGTTCAAATTTAGATTTCGGGAGTTGGTATAACTCCGTTGTGTCATTTGGAACTTGTCTGTAAAATTTAACGTCATTCCGGGTTGATTTGATATGATTCGGCGCGAGTTGTAGAAGTTAGAAGTTCATAAGTTCATTAAGTTCAATTTGAGGTGTGATTCATAGTTTTGATGTTGTTGATGTGATTTGAGGCCTCGAGCAGGTACGCGTTATATTATGAAACTTGTTGGTATATTTCACGAGGTCGCGGAGGCCTCAGGTGTGTTTCGAGTAGGCTACGGGCTATATCTCCATGTTTTTGGACTGTTGATTTGCTGGTGTGCCTGTTGTTCTTTGCGATCGCGAAGATGAAGACGCGATCGCAAAAGGTTTCTGGAAGATAGGTGTTTTTGTTCATCACGGTCACGACCGTGTGCACGCGATCGCGAAGGTCCAGTTGGCTGTGGTCCGCGTTCGCGTAGAGATAGAGCTGGAAGGGGCATTAGGATTTGTTGTCCGTGTTCGCGTGGGTTTCAACGCGTTCGCGAAGTGTGTTGTTGATGTGTGAGTCGCGTTCGAGACTGAGTTTATGCGTTCGTGAAGGGATTTTGGCACCATATATCTTTTATGCATCGCAATCGCGAAGTATTTTCCGCGATTGCATAAGAGGAATCGCTGTGCAGAATATAAAGTACTCTATTTCAAGGGCTTTTGATATTTTATCACTTTTTGAATTAAAGAGCTCAGATTTGGGCGATTTTGGAGGGAATTTTCACGTGTTGGATTGTGTAAGTGTTCTTTATCCGGATTTGATTATATTTCATGATTCCATATTTATTTTTATCATTAAATTAGTGGATTGAACGAGAGAAAATGAGAATTTTTGTAAAATCTTTCAAAAATATAAAATGAGGATTTGAAGACCGATTTGATGTCGTAATTTGATAATTTTGGTATGGTTGGACTCGTAACGAAATGGGTGTTCGTATTTTGTAAATTTTGTTGGGTTCCGAGGTATGGGCCCAGGATTGACGTTTTAGGTTGACCTTTTAGTTTTCTTTAAAGATCGAAACTTTATTATTCAGAATTATTTTTTATGGTTTTAATTTATGATATGAAGTTATTTTTGCTAGATTTGAGTCGTCCGGAGGTTGTTTCACACGAGAAGGTCATTATAGAGTATCAGTTTAGCTTCTTTGAGGTAAGTATGTTGCCTAACTTTGTGTGGGGGAACTACCCCTTAGGATTTGGGTTACTAATGCTATTCGTGTTATGTGAAAGTCGTTTACGCAAGGTGACGAGTGATTATACGGCCTATATGTGGTATTTGACCTGTTTAGATTATCTAGACTGTTTCCACGTCCTTTAATTGAATTGTCATGACATGCTATATCTCTCATTGTTAATCTACTCTTACATGCTCTATTTGACGTTGTTAGTACTTATTGTACCTCTTACTTGTTATTTTTCCCTTATATGCTTTAGTTGAAGTCATTACCTTTCTTATTGTCTTGTTACCTCTTAAGTGTTGAGTCCCTTCCACGACTTTGTGCTTATTTGCTACTTATCCTAATTGTTGTACTTGCACACCTTCGTTGTCATGT